CTTTCTTTCTTTCTTTCTTTCTTTCTCTTTCTTTCTTTCTTTCTTCCTTCCTTCCTTCCTTCCTTCCTTCCTTCCTTTCTTCCCTCCCTCCTTTCTTTCTGTCTTCCCTCCCTCCTTTCTTTCTTTTTCTCACTTTCCCTTTCTTCTGTTCTTCTTGCTTTCTCTTTCTTTCTTGCTTCTTTCTTTCCCTTCCCTCCCTTCTTTCTTTCTTTCTTTCTCACTGTCCCTTTCTTCTGTTCTTCTTTCTTCCTCTTTCTTTCTTTTTCTTTCTTTTCTTTTTTCTTTCTCTTCCTTCCTTCCCTGCTTTCTTTCTTGCTTCTTTCCTTCCTTCCCTCCCTTCTTTCTTTCTCACTTTCCCTTTCGTCTGTTCTTTCTTTCTTTCTTTTCCTTCCTTCCTTCCTTCCCACCCTCCTTTCTTTCTTTCTTTCTTCCCTCCCTTCTTTCTTTCTTTCTTTCTTTCTTTCTTTCTTTCTCACTTTCCCTTTCTTCTGTTCTTCTTGCTTTCTCTTTCTTTCTTGCTTCTTTCTTTCCCTTCCCTCCCTTCTTTCTTTCTTTCTTTCTCACTGTCCCTTTCTTCTGTTCTTCTTTCTTCCTCTTTCTTTCTTTTTCTTTCTTTTCTTTCTTTTCTTTCTTTTCCTTCCTTCCTTTCCTCCCTTCTTTCATTCTTCCTTTCCCACTTTCCCTTTCTTCTGTTCTTCTTTCTTTCTCTTTCTTTCTTGCTCACTTTCTTGCTCTTCCTTTCTTCCATTCTCACTTTCCCTTTCTTGTTCTTTCTTTCTTTCCCTTCCTTCCTTCTTTCCTCCCTCTCTCCCTCCTTTCTTTTTCTTTCTTTCTTACCCACTTTCCCTTTCTTCTGTTCTTCTTTCTTTCTCTTTCTTTCTTGCTTCTTTCCTTCCCTTCCCTCCCTTTTTTCTTTCTCACTTTCCCTTTCTTCTGTTCTTCTTTTTTCCTCTTTCTTTTTCTTTCTTTTCTTTCTTTCTCTTCCTTCCTTCACTCCCTTCTTTCTTTTTTTCTTTCTCACTTTCCCTTTCTTCTGTTTTTCTTTCTTTCTCTTTCTTTCTTGCTCACTTTCTTGCTCTTCCTTCCTTCCATTCTCACTTTCCCTTTCTTGTTCTTTCTTTCTTTCTTTCTATCCCTTTCTACCTTCTTTCCTCCCTCTCTCCCTCTTCTTCCTTTCTTCCTTCCTTCATTTCTTCCTTCCTCCTCCTCCCCTACTTCCTCTCCTTCCTTCCTTCCTTCCTTCCTTCCTTCCTTCCAAACATACCTAATACGCATTCTTCCTATTTTCACAACAATAACAACCTTGTAAGGTGGGTTCAGTTGAGAGAGAGGGATTGGCCAGAGTTGCCCAGCCAGCTTTCATGCAGAATTCACTGTCTCCTGGTAATTGGTCCAAAGCTACCTAGCTGGCTTTCATACCTAGGGTAGGAGAGGATCTCACAGTCTCTTGGGGGTTGACCCAAAGTCATACTTTCTTGCTTAAGGTGGAATCAGAATCCACTGGCTCCTGGCTCCTAGGCCTTCTCCACCACACCAAACTAACTCTAAGCTTTTAAACAGCTTAAGCTGACTTTTGGCCTGATTCATATGTAACCCAGAACAAGAGAGAGGGTTAACAGAGTTAGAAAGCTGCTTTGGATACAGGACTATTGGGGGGGGGGGGATTTTCACCCCCTTTTCCTATGCTCTAAAAACGTTTGCTTAAAACCAGTTTTGGATGCTGGAATAAAAATATAGAGTCTCCTTCCAAATGACGTTTATTCAGGTAGCCAGATATCTTCATTGGGTGAAAAGCTTTCTCATGATCTAGGACAGCGATGGCGGAGTGCCCAAATTGCGCACGTGTGCCAGAGGTGGAATTCAGCAGCAGGTTCTGGACCAGTTCTGGAGAACCGGTAGCAGAAATTTTGAGTAGTTCGGAGAACCAGTAACCCCCTCTGACTGGCCCCTCCCCCATCTATTCTCTGCCTCCCGCGTCCCAGCGGATCGGGAGAAAATGGGGATTTTGCAGCAACTTTCCCCTGCCAACCCCACCGAGCCATGCCCACAGAACCGGTAGTAAAAAAAAATTGAATCTCACCACTGGTGTGCGCATACCCAAAATGAAATATGCACAAACTTGCAAATGCATAAAAATATGCAAGCGTGCGCATACGCAGACATGTGCAAGTGTGCACATTGACATGTGGTTTGTCACCCAGTTACAAATCCATTTCACGGTGTTGCTGCAAAATCCCCATTTTCTCCCGATCCGCTGGGACGCGGGAGGCAGAGAATAG